GGCTGGCAGGCGAGGAGGCTGAGGGACGGCACTAGGAGGCGGCCTCGCAGGAGTTAGGTGCTGGCAGAAGTTAGGAAATAATCTCTCGAATCCCAGTTCAGCACCAGACAAGCCATCCTCCTCTTAAATTTACGAATGAGTACCCCCCAAAAATGTCAAACCGTGTGTAAATTCCTGCTTTTCAGTATTTTAGTGGTCCTTAGTTTTTGAAGACCGTATGGCTCTTGAGTTTTCCACTACACACGGTGAAAATTCATCCATTGCATGACTAAACTGCAGCACGGGGCACTTCAGGATATAGTTTAGTGGTCATGGTGGTATTAGGGTGACAGCTGGACTAAATGATTGTAGACGTCTTTTGCAACCTGATTCTATGAGTCTGTGTCCTGTCCCGTAGTGGCTGGACAAATTTCCATGTTGCCTATCATGTGTAAAGCATCTGCTTGCCTTACAATGCAGAGTCACATCCAGATGTGTCTAAATTAACACTTTAGTTCAAATCAGGAGACGGCTTTTGTAAAAAGCTTACTGTTTATCCCTGGGCAGACCCGCTTTGTTTTGTATTGTGGATCAGCCTGGGAATGCAGGAGGTGAGATTTCCTTCAAATAACACTGACCTGAAGGCTGAAGCCTATCTGTACCTGATGTGCTCCAGCTGCAAATACATATGTAGTGTATGAGGCTGTCATGAGACTAACCTGAAATAAAAAAATTCCAAAACCCGAACACTGTGGTTACAACATTTTCAGCGCTCCCTCTTTTTACAGATCTGCTGCTGGTGCTCCACAGTACTTGCTGATTTAGTCTTAGCCTTTATGTTTTTGTGTGGGTGCCTATATTCCCAGCCATGGGAACAGAACTGCTATTTCTTGGGACTTGGGATACTTCTGGTCTATTTGTTGTGACATGAATATGCTTTAATTAATATGATGATGATAAAGAGGCTGAAGGGCCCTCAAGGAAAGGATACTGTGAAGTGGGCTGACAGCTGGATAAGTTATTTGGGGGAAAGTAGTGAGTGTACCTTGCAGGCCTTGGATCAGATACCTTAAGCTAGATAACAGGGTTAGGAAACTGCATCTACACACTGACTGTTCTCATTGCATGAGAGTATGCATTGGTAACCAGCATTTACACCTCTCTATTCTCAGCTAGAATCGTCCTGCGTCTTGATTGGACATAAATTACTATAGAGTCTTTTATGTTGATTTTTTTTTTATTTCATCCTAGGTGTGAATCTGACTCCTTGGGTCAGATGTATCGTAGAATCATAGAATCATAGAATGGCCCAGGCTGGAAGGGACCTTGGAGATAATTTTTTAATCCAGCCTCCCTGTCGCCAGGGTCGCCACCTCTTGACTAGATCAGGCAACTCATGGGGACCGAACGGGAATGTAGTATGGACAGAACTTTAAGTAGTCCTGTTACATATTTTCTTTGCAAATAAATTAATTACTGTATAACAATAAAAAGTTTTGTCCATTTTAAAAAAGTTGCTTTCCTGAAAGTATTAGAAAAAGGAATATGCAGTGAGCTAAAGCTGACTAAGGAAATACCAAAAAGGAAAAGTTTATGGCCAGCAAGTGTCATCTAGGTTTGCATACCTACACTGTGTTATTTCTTACATTGTTTCATGTTTCCATGAAATGTATGGACTGTAATGTAATTACAGCATGTATATGTGTATTTATATACCTTATTATTTATTCTTTAAAAAATTAAGGCTAGGAATAAGGTTTACCTACACATGCATAATGTAAAAGGCTTTTGTAAATAGTATGTTCTCAATAACATCAATTTTTAATCTTGTTTTCTAAACACTTTAAAGAGATGGAGGAGCTGGCAGAGCATGGTATTTCCTTGCCTTATAACATGCAAGGACTGACAGATGAGCAAATCGAAGAACTGAAGTTAAAGGATGAGTGGGCAGAAAAGTGTGTCCCAAGTGGTGGAAGTGTCTTCAAGAAGGATGAAATTGGGCGAAGAAATGGACATGGTAAATCAAACGTAAATGTTTGTTTCTTTCTCTGCAGACACAGATAATCTATAATATAATGAGGAACATAAGAAATGTAATTCTGAACCTTTCACTTTTGCCTCACTGTCCTGGAAGAAGAGAAAAAACGAGTAGATGCTAAGTATACATTTGATTTCAGGCCAGCATGTTAGCCTTTTCATGTTTGTTTGCTAATTATAAAAATCATCCTATAAATAAACTATATTAAAGGCAGTCATAGATTTGTTAAGATAGATAGTAGCTGTTTTGAGACCAGGTTAGATAAAGTAGCAATTATATACGTAAATCCTCTGTCTTGGATTAGGATCTGGTGTAATACTGATTTAAAAGCGTAAATAGTAGTATATCTCTTCAGCACATAGGCTGTTAACTTTGCAACTGTGGTACTTATAAGTAAACTCCAAAGATAAGTAATTATCCCTGTTTGTAAATGTATGCTTGAGTACTTATTTTTCTCCAGAGGCTCCAAGGTACGTTACCAGGTTGTTTTTCTAATATTTCTCCTTTTTTCTCATTGATTATGACTCAGACTTACCGAACTCCCTGCTCTCTGTTTCTGCATCTCCAGCCAAGTGGTTTTGTCTTAGCACTTGGTGCATGTGTCAGGCACCACTTTACAGTCGAGAGCATGAGGACAGGTTGCTCAGAAGAGGCTGCAATTGTGTTCTTGCCATCTTCCCTCTACTCCTGACACCACAGCAGCCCTTGTCGGGTCATCAGCCCTTCAAATGTTGGTTGCAGGGCAGCTCATTTAAAGAGGAATCTTTGAATAACTTGGTCTTAACTTTTTGACACAAACAGCTTACTCCAAGTGTCTGGCATTTATTTGTTAGCGGGAGCTTTGTAATATTAACAGAGTCATAGTGTTGAATGGTGTGTAAATGTAGCCCAAACTAAATACCATTAAATGATGCATTTAAGTGTTCAGCTATGAACGAGTGTGACTTAATTGGATTTTTATATTTGAGGAGAGGCTTTTTATAGCAATTAAAATAGATAACTGTGATATGAAATGCATGTTGTGTTTGCAAAACTGCATTTGATGTTAGATTGAGATTTTAATTGGGAAAAAGTCAGAAAACTCCAAGCTGTTGTCCTCAGTTCAAGCATATCTACCAGTACAGCCCACAATAGTTGTAAGTATGGCATAGGAAAGAGAAACTTGGGGTTTGTTGCTTGGGAGTGTGAGATTATAGCTGTTTCTTTAGTCCCAGTGAAGTTCCAGATACCACTAAAATGTCTTTGCAGAAAAATAAGTTTGGCTTTCCCATTAGAAACACTGTTTTGTTTCTTAAGTTAGTAAGAAATATGTCCATGAACTGTCAAACTGGTAAATAGACTGCAATTTAGTAATGTCTCTTTTGCTTTGTGATTTAACGATGTTTCGTTTGCTTACAGTAGAGAATAACCTGGACAGGTTGTTTGCTTGGTTTCTCTGCATTAAGTATGGTCTCTTAAATACGTGTCTCTTATTTTTTAGCTCCAAATGAAAAAATGCAGCAAGTTATAAAGAAGACAATAGAGGAAGCCAAGGCATTGATCTCTAGGGTAAGTTTCCTGAATTAGCATGTGGGACTTTCTTAATAGGTGCTGTGTAGTTTGCATAAGAAAAGATCAACTTGTTTCACTGCCAGGACTGACAATTTTTTGAGTAATATCATGAAATGATGTGAATAGTCTAATAAAAACTGTCAGTTCTGTTAATAATTTTCTTAATGGCTTTTGGCAAGCTGGTTCAACAAGTTAAGGAATCAGATATTAAACTCCCAAGTGAATGCTGGCAGCCGAAGCCACATGGAATGATTAAATCACATTTAATTTTATCCACACTCTCTTAATTTGCTATTGATGCATTCTTTAGGCGAATGCCTGTCGTGTTTTCTGGTGAAAAATTAACTGCATTCTGTGATGTTCCTGGAACAAAATACCTTCTGCTCATTAACACAGTCTTTTGAGTTTTATGTAAAATTAATCAGAAAATGTGTTCTAATCTCTTGGGTTAGGCCGTGGGTTTACAAGCACTTGGACTCATGCTCAATCCCAATGAGTTTGTGTGTTTGAAGATAAGCGTGAGAGTATGCACTGATGTCAACTATCAACTTCACTTTACTGAGTCTGCAGACGTTTTCCATTGTGTCTCTGCTTTTGTATGACTTTGCAACATGAATTAAGTATTATTTGTTATCAGATTTCTCTCTTGTAAACATCTGCAAGTAGTTTTCTTCTCCCTGCCCTTACAGTTCTAGGAATTGGTGTGTGTGGAACTTTAAAACGGCTTTAAAACAGTCAGTGTTACTGACTTGTTAGTGTTGCCTGTGAGCTAAAATTGGCCTTCTTGGCTGTTTTGTTGCTGATAACAGCGTCATATCAGTCGTTTAGAGTGAGCAGCTCAGTGTTACCAAAGGCGTTGTGGAGGCAAGCAGAGGAGCTGCCCTGCCACCTGGCAGTGCTTCCAGTGTGCTGGAAACCTCTCCTGAATTCAGGCAAGATCTCAGCCAAACTGTTCTGAGTCATAGCAGAATTTACACAAAATAGGAGATGTTTCAGATTAAAGCTTCTGGATTATAAAGATTTTGTCCAGATGGACTTTTTTTTTTTTTTCCTTCTGTTGGATTGCATCTCATCAGCTCCATTTCTAAACAGGGAGGAAAATAATAATGTGTAGCTTTATTTTGTGAGTCAAAACTATCTGCAGATCTGGTCTCTGCTTCGTAAGTCTTTCTGAGTGTAACTTCTGACTGTATACCATGCTGCCATTTACAATAAAAAGTTGCAGAATTGCTGCACTGCATGCTGACTCACTCCTGAAATGACTGTCCTTCATTGGTGAATGTAGTTAAAGATAGTTTGGGAAGTGGTTTGTTATATGTATCACTTTATAACGGTGAAAATGAAGAAACATGTCTGTGTATTTAAAAAAAAGTTCATCATTTGAGATTGAGAAACCTGTTGTACTTGTCAGTTAACTAGTTTAAGAATGTCCACAAGGAGGCAACATTCTCTTACTCTCTTTTTTACAAACTTTGTTACTTAAAATACTGAAACCATTAAATCCATAAGCAAAAACTTCATTTCTTCTCTTCCAGATGCATCTTGTTTTGCCTCTATCTGTTGCAGTAGGATTTGGAATGATCTCAAGTATTTGATCTTGCAGATCTCTGCACAAGCCACGTGATATGTCAAGCTTTACTCTTCTGCTTATGTGTGCTCTATTTTTTAACTCACTTCTCCAGCCCTCACTTGAATTCTACAGTTTTGAATCTTGTTTGTGAATCACAAGTACTTGGAACAAAAGACTCCCCACCCAGTTTCTGTGGTCATATGTGTACTTGTTTGAATGCCTGTATCCTACAGACATTTGTTACTAAATGCTTCCTGCATAATTTGGTAAAGATCTCGTGTTTTTAATTATTATTATTTTTTCTCTCTCAGTATCGGCAACCTAAATGAAGGGGGCAAAAGCGTAGCAATGTATTCAGAAGTCAATATTCAGACAAGAAAAGTTGTGCTCCTAGTATCTGCGCAGCCAGTCAGCTTTGCTCAAGTGTCCCACACTTTGAACTGACTACAAAGCAAAGTCTTTCTGCATATTTTTTTTAATTGCCAATGATCCCTGCCTATATTTCAGAAACAAGTTCAGGCCAATGTGTGTGTTAATATGGAGATGGTGAAAGATGCGTTGGACCAGCTGCAAGGGGCTGTGATGATTGTGTATCCAATGGGATTGCCTCCACATGATCCAGTTAGGATGGAGCTTGAAGATAAAGAAGACTTGTCAGGAACTCACGTATGCAGTAATGTAGTTGGATTATATGTAGTGCCTGGGTTAAATATATGCTGTGCTGTTCTCCATTTTATCAGTGAAGCTTGTTTTCATTTGCATGACAAATTTTGTTTCATATTTTTGCCTCATGGTTTTTTGTAAAACCACACCAATAGCTTAACTAGAAATCAAATGAATTAACTTTATTTCAAATGTCACATACAAAGTTCAGGTCAGTCTGGGTCTCATTTTAAATAACTTCTCATTGCTTTCTAATGCCAGTATTGGGAATTTATTGGCCAAAGTGTTTATCTTAGATCAAGGCTGAACAGAATATTTGTGAAAATGCTGTACATTACTATGAGGAGAAAGATGTAGCAGAATTACAGCGTAAAATTACACTGGCCTTTCTGCTAGGAGTTCAAGAAAGATTTTTCCCAGAATATTTTTCTGGTTTTGAAAAAAAAAAGCAAAAAAGAACACTCCCCAGCACTTCATCTCGTTTCTTTGTTTGTCACAGGCTGGACTTGAAGTTATAAAAGAATCAGAAGCACAATTATGGTGGGCAGGAAAGGAGCTGAAAGAAACAAAGCTGCTCTCTGACTATATAGGCAAAAATGAGAAAACGACCATCATTGTCAAGATACAGAAAGTAAGTATTGCTGGGAGATTCCGTTGCAAGTTCATTCACCTTTGGCTGTCCAGCTCTCTGTGGAAGAGAACTGTTTGTAGATGTATAAAACAGGTTAGATCCAGCCTGAATGTCTTAAAACTGTACATCTATTTTAAGGTTTTATTATATCCTAAGTTTTTCTTTAGCAATTCCTTTGCCTATCAGTTAAATACTGTAGTTGCTATTACTTGCTTCATACCATTTTCTAAAGTACAACAAAGAGATTTTTAAAGACAGATTAAATGCAAAGTGAAAAGCTTAAAAAACTTTAACTGACTTTCAGTTCCATCTCAGTGCAGAGCATTGAACAGACCCAGTCATTTAGTCTGCTTAGTTTTTTTAATAGTACTTGTGAATGTTTTTCTCTCCATGCTCTGGCCTTTGGAAAACAATTTTAATATTCTGTATTTATGCCTCTGTGTGGATGCCTTTCATCTCCGTGTCAGTTTGCTCTGTCTCTGAAAGACCATGTCTTTAATTCAGTAATTTCCTGCCTGTGGTGTCATGAGTCTCTTGATGGCAGGTCCTCAAACTGTCTTATTTGTCTTGGAAATCTGGACATGTATCTTCCTGAGAGGACATGGGTTGTGGAAGAGCCTGAGTTTACACTCTTCCAAAAGGATCAGTAAGAACTCGCTGAGCGCTAGAAGGAAGAACAAGCTAACCCAGTTGCAGTCTTGGCAGCAGCTCACCTAAAGCTTCCAGATGAACTTTTTTTAAAGAAGTGAGACTTTGCAGTTGTCAAATGTGGCGAAGCAGATGAGCTCTTTTGTATTAATTGTGAATGCAGGTTTGAGTCATCCTCTGGAGTAATGAGCTAAAACTGGGCAAAGATCTCCTGCTGCTCCTCAGTTTATACACCTGGTGCTTCAGCAAAAGCCAGTCTCTAAGTGTGTGTGCTGCTGTCTGACACAGTAGTCATGTTCTGCCGCTGGGACTGTTCATTGTTTTTTGGACAAAATAATTTTGCACTAACTGTGCAGCTGTATTTTCTCTGGTGAGAATGCCATACTCAAGGGAAGAATGTTTGGTGTTTCAGTTCATTTTCAGAGCTTTGTCAGAAAATGCTCATCTCGGTTTTGTGTGTATGTATGTCTTTCTGCAAAATCACATTCAGAGGGTGCTTTTGTGAATATGAGATGTCTCAAGAGCGTGTACCTGTAGCTTGGAATTATTCTGCAGTGGCATTTAGCTTCTGTGTCAGTGAGAGCTTCACTGCCACAGGAAGCATTAGTGTTTATGGCAGATCTTATTATCTGCAGGTATCTGTAATGGAATTCCTTCAAGATAAGTGATTTACGTGTTTGTCATTTACAAGACCAGAATCGCTTTCTCTTTCCTAGCTGGGTGACTGAAAAATTGTGTGACAACTCAACAGCTGTTGAAGTGTAGGCTTCACCATCTCCATTCAAACTGTTCTGTTTGCTATTGTTGACAATAGTTGTCATCAGTTATTTTCTGCTGTGTGCATCATTTCTTCCATGGGGACAGTTGCCTGGAAAAAATTCTTGTGTGTGTAGTAACAAATAATATTTTTTTTATTTGTAGTGTTTTGTAACTGCCTGCCTTCCCTGCTTTACTAAGTCATATGCCATCTTGAGTCTGTATTAGCAGAGGAGCTAAAGATGGATGGGCTCATCCTGAGATATCTAGAAGGACTTTAAAACAGAGAGATTTATTATGTCCTTTAGAGTGGAAGCTTAAGTGAAACAGACTCAATCCTGTTTGTAGCTTCCATTGATGTTGCAAAATGGACAGCATGATTGAAATGCTGAGATGAAAAAAAAATAGTTCTTACTTGAATGCAGCAGAGGTTTCTCAACGTTTATTTTCCTGTCCTGAGGGACCTTATTAAATTTGAGAAATCCTATTGTCTGGAGAAAGACTTTGCTATCTTTGCACAGCAGCTTCTCTTTTGTATCGCAAATGCCATCATAAATAAAATTTATGATTTCCCTTTCAGAAAGGACAAGGAGCTCCAGGGCGTGAACCTCTGATTAGTCATGAAGAGCAAAAACAGATGATGCTGTATTACTACAGAAAGCAGGAGGAACTTAAGGTAACAGCGTCTTTTTACAGTCTGTGAGCTGTGCTGCTGTAGGTTACATGCAGGTTACATGTGTTACCGCTGTCTTAACCTGTTGATTCTGTTTGCAGAAACTAGAAGAGGATGAGGACGACTCATTTCTAAATGCTGAGTGGGCAGACAACCATGCTCTGAAAAGGCAATTTCATGGTGTAAAAGACATCAAATGGGGGCCAAGATGAAGCTCTGCAGATGCCTTTTTGCTTCTTTGAGCTGTTTGGTTCAGACCCATGTTTGCAATGAGAAGTTTTGTTGTGCACAGTAGATTCTTCTGGCAAGAGCTCACATTGTCACTTCTCTTAGCAGGTGTCTCTTTCAGCTGTAAGTTTTCAATAAAGGTTTACATTTCTGTGTAACTGTCACAGCACCTGTCTCTGCAAAGAATGGAATCAATACTGTTGAAGTTCATTGTTTTAGATACTTGTAATTTGAATATTGAAATATTAAACTGTTCTGTAGATAATATCTCTAGTAAATATGCACTAGAGTGTTTGACACTGGTTAGAGTGGTCTTTATACTTGCTTTCTGATTCTTGCGTTTCTTTTAGATGCTGTGGTCTGTAAGAGGTAATTTATTTCGTAAGAAACCAGTTTTCCCAGGCTAATCTAGTGAAAGTTACTGATGTTTATGTGCGTGTTCGCATTTCAACATAGTTAATTCCAAACTATCCTTTCTAAATGTGTTGACCTCTTAATGATTGTTTATAGGAAGTATTTTTCTGTAAGACACAAATAGCACAAAAGTCACTGTGGAATGCTTCATTTTTGTTCTTTTGGTTTAGTTTTCATTGACTTTGGAAACCAGCCTATTGATCTCATTCAGTTTAACAAGCTGTTAGCCATGATGCTTTTATATAAAGATCAACAGAAATCTTTTTACAAAAGTAAGCGTCATTTGGAAGTGGATTGGATACAATAAAAGCAAGTTTATTAGGGCAAGATTTCTAATATGGAAGTTCTCCTATGATTATGACTGGATTAGAAGTGTTTCATTCCTAACAAATCTGCATTTTAAAATAAGAAATCGTGAAAATTATCAGATAGTGTTTGCACTATGTGCTTGATGTTTAGGATCCTATTAGCCTTTCTAAAATGTATCATCAGTTAGTTCTGGGTTCAAGACTAACAAAGGAGATGGGAGTAGACTTGAAGCAAATAGAATCATAGAACGTGTTGAGTTGGACGGAACCTTTAAAGGTCATCTAGTCCAATCCCTCTGCAGGAGCATGGACAAGGTTGTGTCCTTTTTTGAAAAGAGGATTCTGATTCGCATTACAGTATGACTAAATGATAATTAAATCTCTAGAATTATCTGTGTAGATAATGAATGTTTAGACTTCTGTATCCTGAAAGGAGATGCTTTTCTATGGAAGCAGATGTGCGTCCTCATCAGGTTGCTGAGCAGTGGAAAGGCAGGGTGCCCTGAAAATTCTGCATGAGGTTAAATCTCTAGAATTATCTGTGTAGATAATTAATGTTTAGACTTCTGTATCCTTAAAGGAGATGCTTTTCTATGGAAGCAGATGTTGCTGAGCAGTGGAAAGGCAGGGTGCCCTGAAAATTCGGCATGAGGTGAAGAAGAGGTGAAGTGTTGTGGGCACTCGCAGCCAACAGCTCCAATGACGTTTCACACCCCAAAGCACTTGTCCTTGGGGCAGCAGGGTGCTGAGAATGCCCGCCTTTTCAGTTCTGCAGTACGGAAAGGCAAGCCAGCTAAGGGCATTGTGTTTGTGGCTCGCAGTAGACATCAGGGTACCAGGTTGCCGTGGCACACCTCTGCTTTCTTTCCGCCTGAGCCAAAGTAGATCGTGTCGCAAACTACATCAGTCCTGAGAGCAGACACCTGCTCATCATCGTGTAGTTTAAGTCAAATTGTAATGTGAAATATTGTTTTTGCAGATGCCAAGTTATAGCACTGTGGTGCACAGCTAGGGCTGCTCAGCAACTCTGCAAGTCAGATGTGGTATGCTCTCTGAACTTAAACCCATATTTGATATTTTTCATTGATAGCTTTTTTGTCTTATTCATGCCCTAATCCTCAAGTCAGGAGGGCTTAGTGGCAGACACACTTGAAAACAGAGACGTCTGAGATATCAACCAGAAGCTTCCTGCCTTGCCAAACCTGCTAGTGCAACAAGATGGAAGTAAATTCTGTGGTTGTTGACTGTTCCCTAAAACTACCTGGCTCTGATTCTTCTCCAGATTCACAAATCTCAATACTTCTGGCTTAATCCCTCTGCTTGTTTGAGTCATTATAAAACAGCAAAGAGAAAGTGTTTTGCTAGTTGATTTTTGATGATGAAAAAGCCCATAATTTTCTTAAATATTAGTATGGTTGTAGAGACACTGATCAAGTTCAACTGAAGTGTTTGCTGAACTCGCAGCTGCAAGTCTGAATGCAGAAAAGAGAATTAATGCCATTCAGTAAACTATTAATGGTGGCTTTACTTCGGTCACTGATTCTTTTAGGAAAGTATGGTGTCTGGTAATTTTTCTTCAGTATCACCTTTACGGTAACATGGTTTTTTACCAAAAAAACCAGTACATGGGATTTTTCTAAGTTGCAAAACTTTGGATGCTTTGTGTTTAAAAACAACTTGGCCTTATTTCTCTGTGGCAAGAAAACAGTGTGTTTTAACAGAACAGTTTGTTCTACCACTTAGTCAGGTGAAAATCAGTGTCCTGTGCAACCCTTGGGAGTTTTTTAACCATTCCCATAGCTGACTGACGGCTTTTTTCCTACTGTTCTCCTTTGCTGTCATCAAAGGGTAGAATGAAGACAATCTGGAAATACTTTATTTCTTAATATCACTGACATTGCAACGCACAGTGCTATGGTGAACGTTCTTGATCCATAACTGGAACTGGGAGCACTCAGTGAAATCATTATAAAGTGATAGAAGTAATTGATTTATTATAAAGGTTGCTGGTCACCTAGCTCCAACTGCTGTTCAGTCCTACTGGTTGTAAGAGGGCTGGGTTGCCAGACATGTTGCTGTGGCTTTAAAGGGGGCTCCTACAAATATAAAACTTCCCCCGCCTGGCAGTGTTCTCCTTAGTGGTTTCACAGGGATGTGTACAAATGCTGACTGAGGGCCCAAATTTTGAAGTGGATTCTGCCCTGGAAGTAATTATTTGGTTTGGGCAATTATATGTGTATTTATTCTTCCAAAAAAATTTAATTACTATTTGTAGATGAATGACTTGGGGCTATTGCACGTTTGTTTTCCTCTTTTCCAGCAATGTTCTAAAATATTTATGTCCTTTTGGCAGCCAGAAAAAGTGCAGACCTGTTTATAAGCTTCTTAAAGCAAGCTATGTGGCACCCTGGCACTTTTTATATCCGGTGGCAAGTTATAACCTGGCAATTGCCAAATCACTTTGTTTCCTCTGCTGCTTGTGACAATGCTTCCCCTCCACAAAATCTCATCTTTGCTGTTTAAGGAGTCGGCTGAGGACAGCCAGCCCTTTCATGTGGTTTTTGTCATGCTGACGTGGGAGAGAGATTCCCAAACTATGGACTGCTCGTCAGCTACCTGCAGCGGAGATCAGCTCCTGGACCAGGGGTTGCGACATGAACTTACCTGGCAGCGCTCGTTTATTGGCATTAGTGCACCCCAGAAGAGTTTCTTAGCAGGAGTAACCATTTCTTAACAGTTTCTTATTTGTCTACTCCTCGTCATGTAAAGTAGTTTTTGGTTTGGTTTGCTTTGGTGGTTTTTTTGTTACTTTGCCATAATTGCATTGAGCTTAGTGGCCTCGGCAGGAAGCTTCCCAGATGTTTTGGATCAGTTATAATGAATGCTTGAAAATATCCAACTGAATCCCTCTTGCAAATAGAGCTTTCATCTTAGATTAGTATTATTCCAAGGAGCTTGTTCTGTAGGCTTCCAGTACTGTAAATAACTGAAGTCATCGCTGGCTTTTGGCCACTTGATTTAACGTCCTTGATACCAGGAAATATTAAATAATGGAGGAGGTAAAATGAAAATGATATAAGCAGTAAAGTATCTGTAGTCCCCGGATCTTGCTCGTTTGACCCCGCTGCACATCCGCGACTGAGAGTAACTGGTTTTCCATGACGAAAAGCCTAACATGTTGCTAGCGCCTTCCTCCCAGCAGGGTTCTCTCTGCAACTGGTGCATGTGCCAAAGGAACACAAGAAGTTTGATTATCTTTCCAAGGCTTGTTGAAAGTTTAGTGTTTCAGTGAAAAAGAGACTTCTAAATTACCATTAAACAGAGAATTCTGAGGGGGGTGTTTGAACAGGGCGCTTGAGTTTTGTCATTTCCTCTCTAAAAGTGAGGGAAAAGCATGCATAGGAAATAATTAACACAGGAAAAAAAAAAATCTCTTTTTTTCTGCATGCCTTTGCTGTTCTCTGTCGTAATTGGTTTTGATTTCTTCTTTAGCTGAGAAAACTGTCCATAGGATCAGTGCTCTTCTGCATTCTCATGACAGTATCTGTGGATCTGCTGGATTAATTTATTATGGCTCAAATTGAATGAGCTTACTGGAAAAAAGATGAAAAAATACAGGAACAAAGCGAAGCATATAGTTATTTAAATATCTAAAGAATTTCAGAATTACGAGATAGGAACACCGCACATAGGTTTGTAAATTTGCGAAAGCGTTTTATCTTTCCACTAAACCATTTATTTCTGGAAGTTTGATAGTAGACATGTCCTTCCAGAGGGAAAATCAGTTCCCTATCAAAGGACACGCAGAGCAGAACATTGCTAAAATGTTTGCTTTGTGGCCATATCACCATCTCAATTAATGGACATTTATATTGTGTGTTTTGAGAGTTACTAATGCCCTTACAGCCATTAGTGTGCTATTGAGTTTTCCTGGAATGGGAGAGTGAGAGGAATCAAAGCAGGGGCAGTTTGCTCCCTGTGGACCTGGCTCCTGCACTGCTTCACCTTCCCCCAGGAGGTCAGCTGTGCTCCCTGGGGTGCAGGGTCTTGGAGCGGGGTGAACCTGATATATGCAGCATATTTGAAAATACTCCGGTGACATTTCCTGATTATTTTGCCATGAGATGGGGTGTCTCTGGTGGGCTGCTGTTGCTGCAGAGGTGACCCCGGTGGAGCAGTGAGCACCTGCTCCACGACTCTGTGCCCTAGGTGGGCAGGGAGCCAGCAGGGAGCTAGAGCCACCACTTTCAGTGCCACTGATG